ACTTAAAAACTTAAGTTGTTTAACAAACCAGTTGTTCAGCCTTCACCAAAAACTCTAAAAGTCTTGTCACAAGACGACATTCCAAATCACTGAGGCTTTTTAAACTTGTAGCTAATTCACTGATGGAGCACAACTCACAAAATTATCTACCTTGAGATTCACCTTTCAACTAAGCTATATCGTCGCTGGAAATCGAAAAGCATTTTATCAGAACAAAATCAAACCTGCAAGAAAAGCTTCAAACCAGTCAGAATATAGATGTAATGATTGAAAATTCCCATTATAGATAAACGAAGATTGAAAATTTTGTAAGATTATTTGATAGATGATGTTAACGATTTAAGGGAAGAATTTTCAATTGATTTACAGTCAACCTACAGACAACCGTTCAAATCTCTTAATTAAACATTTGACAAGCGAAATCTCGTCAATGAAAAATATGACTATGTTAAATGCGTGAGGTCATAGAAATTGTCTTCATCATAATAAAACAAACTAAGAGAGAGAATTTTGTCTCGAAATGAGAGAACTAGGTCATCAGTGTCTTCATGTAACAAATTGGCGCTAAAGAAATGGGATACAATTACTAGGTTTGCATTCATTATCTATTCGGAAAGATATGTCATGGAAATAGAATAGGCATCAAAATCAGAAACTAAGAGCTGGTATGTAAATCAACCTTGTATCTAATAATTATATTTCCAGTCTATATGTCATATCTGACTTCACGATATTTTGAGTTCAATTTTGAAACAGATATAAACTGAACGGCAACCCTAAGTTAATGCCAAAGTTTGATAGTTGATATCCAAAATTCACGTTTTGACTGCAGTGCTGCATCCAGATCTGAACAATTCAAATGGTACTACAATTACATATATTTCCATATATATCAATTATTAGAATTGGTTGCTACGCTACAGACTTTTGTGTTATTAGTTCGGGAATCGGTGGTTTTCTTAGGGGTGGAAGCCCGTGGACTTGTTTCAATCAGTCCCTACGGTAGTTGAGCCACTGTCTAAATATACGTTTTACTGTGACACCATTCATACACTCCACCATAGTTCATAACTCGAAGAAGACTTACCAGAGTTAACTCTAGTGGGTGTATGTCATTCATCGTTGTTAATGATAACAGAATGTTAAATTACTGGAAAACAAGATTATGGTCAATAATTATTAGATTCTTATAGTTCTTCCATTATCATTTCACATCAGTGATTTCCCCTACGATCATCTAATCAGAAACCATCTAAGATATGAGAATAAAATTACCGCCATCGTGTAGACAATATGATAGATAATGATGTGGTGTTTCTGCCTGGGGCCATGACCAAGGAATGGTTGTAGATTCATCATAATTCCACCTTGGAACAATCAACCTCCCTCGCGTTGTTTATGTAAATCAAAGTAATATAATATAAGTTACAAAGAGTTAATGGGCGAAACGGACATCAACAAAAGTCAATTGAAATTCGATCTAACGTACTGCTTTTCTGCTCTATACTACGTTTTTGGAATTTTACAGCAGCAGTAACCTACTCTCTTTCGAATTTCTTCCGAGGAATCATTATTGTGCAAAGTTCACTGTACACACCTCCTTGATTGATCGCCCCATCAAAACGTGCAAAAGCTCATGCAATGTCCATTCTCCGACCTCCATCTCTGGCAGCGGTAATCAGGCACTGTTATTAAGTCAGAAAAGACTAATATATATTTTGAACAGAGGTACTACGTCCATCAAGATATTTGAAATTTTGGTTATTTGCACAATTTTCGATACTTGGCTTGTCGAGCCAATTGAAAATGAGTGGGATTGAAATGGAGTTTTCGGTCACCTAATTCTACAAAACATCTCTTCCTTATAATATATATTTCGTACAGAATCCTTGGCATATGTCATAAACCTCTTTGTTAGGTTAATACTATCAATTAATATAAACTGACGTGAAATCCCCGAGCTATATGCAGATAACCATTTTTTAATACTTAAAAACCAGAAAGAAATCATATTACATTGTGTAATTCCTTTTCTTTTCCAAGATTTAAATGTCAAGATGAAATTCGATCGATTTCTTTCATTTTAAGTTTTTGTCTTACTTTTAGATCTTTTTTCTATTCATGTATTCCATTCATTTCAGAAGATTTTAATTACTATTATATTACCTGCCCTTGGCACATTCTTTGATTCTAAGAATATTTGCAGGAATAACCCGCTGAGAAATGATTACTGATATTCGGTTACATTCAATAATGAAATGAAGCATACAAAATTTAAGAAAAGATGTTTGATTGTTTACATAATTTTTGTCCTTATGTTTGAAGCTTTCAATGTCCAAGGGTTAAAAGTGACGTCACTACCATATTTTATTTGACATGATAAATTTGCTTGCGTTAAGAAAAGAATCTGAATTTTCTGGGTATTTTTGATAAATGTAGTTCTAGAGTTGTAGGAAATAAATTTAATTCGAGGTTTTTTTTTTTGCACCATTTAGCTGCTGTTGCCTATGTTCGGCTGTGTTATATCCATCTAGATTCGAAACGTGTCTGGTTTTGGCGGACTCCACTTATAATTCTTTTTTAATCAACCCCACCCAATATTTCTTAGAAACGTCTCTGTTTATATGATAAAGACAGGCAAACCATGCCAAAGCGTTTTTGAATTTTTTAAACGCCTATGACTTAGAAATCCTTATGGAAGTAAGGACACTTCACATAGACATCAACACGGTTTGCCTCATTAGATACATCTGAAGTGTTTTTATCGAATCATTAACTTTATCTGTCTGCCTACTTACACAAACTGAATGGTTTTTGCTACCTTTTTTGCTTTTGTGCTGTCAAAATTCTATGAACACAGGAAATGAAAATATGAAATTTATGTAAATTTAACATCATTTCATGGTCAATTACTCCATTTCGTCATATTGATTTTTAAGTCGTTAGTATTTTCTTTGATGGTAACGACACTATGTGGAACGGATGATTTCATACACTGATTTTAACAAACTAATGAAAAACTTTTTATTATCAGTGCCAATTTCGTGTCTAAAACACATTTGAAACGTAATTTGACAGCATTCAACGAAGCTTATTAGATAAGGATAAAATTTTAGGTGAAATGGACGATTGCTCACTACCCTGGAGATTTTGGGCTCAATCAATCCCCGCATAGGTCGAGATAATACCTTCTGATTTTTAAAACTGGTTTTCTCTTGTCATAGGTCTCTTGTCAAGGTCCTTTGTGCCATAGGCTGTGTAATGTGAGCTCCATCGACGGTTGAAAAAAATGTAGATTTATTTCACTGTACTGGCAAAATTTTCTCCACTGCACTCTTCATCCGTCTTTATGAGCCCGAATTCCATAATTCCATTTTATGAGAATACTGGATACAACATCAGAATAGTCGTTTTCTTTGAATGCTGAAATATCTATCTCTATTCCACGACTTATTAATGTATCCTAAATCAGCCCACGTAATTGGTGTTAGCTCTGTTGTTTATGTTATAACGGAAATTTCAACGATCTGGCATGCCACAGAAGTCCAATGAAAATATTAAAAGCTGCTTAACAAGAAGGAATATTTGATAGATGACTTGCTAAGTTGAGGTGACATTAGCAGATTAAGAAATGTGCAGTAATATTGATTACTTAGATATTGTAGATATATTACCTTCATTCAACTATGGTGATACCGTTACTGTTGCCATCCATCCGATTGCATCCAAACCGGAAATTGACTAGGAGGAGTACTTGAGAAGCCTCTGCGTTATTAACGCATTTATGGTACTTCGTCGATTTGGTCCTTATTCTATGATGGTAGCTATGTCTTTGGATAACTGCTTTGACATAATAATATAATGATAATTATTTGCAACCCACATTATGATCAAAAGTAACTGAGTAACTGCAGTCACATTATGGTTCGACATCAATGTTACGTCTACATTTCATGGTATTCCGTAGCTTTAGTCTTCAATCCCTTAGCTGTAGAAGCTATGTTTCTGGATAACTGCATGAGCGAAATGAAAGTTTTACGTTCTGGTTCTCAATCAGAATCCAGATAGCCCTCTTCTATCCTCAGAGATATCGCTGCCGCTGGTGGTATTGAGATGCTTCTATTTATAAGTGTTCATAGGTCTCGGGCATCTCTCCGGGTTGGAAACCAGGCTGTGTATTCTCGAAACGATTTTAGAGCTAGGATGTCTTAGCTAGAATATCCTAGCGCTAAGATTATTTTGAGAACACATGGCCAGGGATCTATCGGTGATGATAGACAAACAGATTTCTCTTAACTAATGCTTAGTGTGACAGAATTTTAAACTCCGTCAATTGCAAGTACAAAATTCCCGTTACTCGTGTGAGCTAATATCGATGGTATTGAAACCAATGATGAAGAAATATCACGTTAACCGAACAACTTCATATTTTCACTCCTGTTTATAGATTCACACAATATTTAAACCAAGTGTAGTTGACTTCACATTTAGGTTTCTTCCTGCTAACACCTTTAAAATATGGTTTCTTAAGTCATGTTTGTTTCTCTTGAATGAACGGGAATCCATACAAATTGATGGTAAAAAATATTATATCAAAGGAAAAAATCGTAAATACTGAAGGATACTCTAATCACTTAGACCGCTTCACAACCGATGAATTCATTAATCCATTCAATAACTGTTTCAGCTATGTTTCGTGTACGACATACATACCTAGGACCACTTTCATTAACAGTCCGTTATTGCATTGTTCTCTTGTGTGGTCTCTATTATAACAGCTCCTAATTCAGTTGTACTGATGACACATCCGTTCTGACTTTTATCTAAGTAACATAATATCAACTGGATTTAATGATGATTTGACAGACACTCAAAAATACCTTACTTACATATTGAAAATTTGGTCCAAAGACGTAACTTCAGTAGATAGATGTTTATTAAAAAAATGTGGATAAACCCGTCTGCTTTCATACTAATAAATGTTGTTTCTCTATTTTCAGAGTTTAGATGTAATGAAAATATTAGTAGTGGAACCAAAACAAATGGAACCATTTCCAGTCCATTCTATCCTCAAGCTTATCCAGCGGATGTGACGTGTAGATATGTGTTTCAGGGAGCTGGTAGACAGAGAGTACAGTTAAAGTTTACTCATATGGATCTATATTATCCTGCTGGTGATGCTTCCAATCCAGGAGAGTAAGTTTCAATGTTCTTTCTTAGACGTGTATTTATTTTAAATTTACTACTTAAATTAAAGTTAGATGCAAGAACAAACATCAAGGATTTTTTACTACTAACGTTTCAGTATGTACTAATAAACTTTTTATATATCTCACGATGTATTTTCTTTTTCTAGTTGTGAAGGAACAGATTCTATCTCTGTCTATGTTATGGTTGATGGTAAACGAGCTAACCTGGGAACATATTGTGGTAAAAAATTACCACCGATGTTAATGTCCAATGAACCAAAATTAGTATTGGAATTCCGCAGCGTCCAATCTTCAAATTACGTTACAGGCTTCAGAGCCGAGTACAGTTTTGTTACCAGTAAGTATGTTAAAGTCTCGAATCAATTAATTAAAAGCTTAAAGCAGATTACATAGAAGTTAGTGGGTTTAGTTTTGTGATACAGAATTTGCGTGAGGTCGTTGATCAAGTCTGATTAGTCATGTTTTGCATCGGAATACCTTCACGATTAGTCATTCTGTAAAGCGTTAATGTCATTGGTAAGAAGGACTGCCAATTATGTCCTTGGTTGTTGCAGAAACATGAGAACTGTCCATGAAGCCTTTTGGAGATCACATCCTGGCTTTTGCTTTTGCTATATAAGCATAAATAAAATTGTAAGTAATCCTCTCCAATTCTGGTAATTAGGCGACCAACCGAGAAGTGACCAAAAGCAATATCGCTTTGATGATGTAAGGGATGAAGTAATGATTACCTGCAGTTTGAAAACCGGTATCTTTATGACTGATGTATCTAACTTTGTGTCTTTCAGATTTTGGAATAACTGATGGTGAACAGGATAATAGGGGAGGTAAGCACGTTTCACGTCATTGGTTAAAACCTTCTTCGTGTGTGTTACATTAGTAACTGCTTTGCTGTTTTCGGATTATTGATCCTGATTAAATCGATGAACTTGTATATTTTTCAATCTTTTTGTCATTTACGTTGATACTTGTTGGATGAGGGACATCTTCTGAATGGGCATTGAATGCAGAAATGTCTTTCAAGACACAGGAGGTTGACAAACATGTGTTTGAAACCACTTATTCCAGGAAGATTTTTTGTTGATGAAGTTCGTGTATATATGCTGCGAAGGTGGTGACAGATCGTTGTGGTTAATCTTCTGAAATCGAATTTGCAACCCGTTTTTGTCTCAGAAGATTTAAAATAAATTTGAGAATTGTTGTTCATCAGCTGTGAACAATTCAGTTCCAGATGCCTGAATGTTATTTCTTGATCAACTTTATAGCATGTACTTGAATCGAAAAGAAAATTAAGTCTACTTTCGTGTTGTTCAAATTAAGGTCTGCTTGCAACGTAAAACTTATTTTATTATATTGTTTTCTATTGCAGTGTGTATGTTTAATTTCTACAGTGCTAGACAATCCTCGGGGACATTTACATCACCTAACTATCCTGGTTTATACCCTAGAAAAACTGAATGTCATTATTTATTTTATGGTAAAGGAAAAGAAAAAGTTCATATAACATTTCCAGTCTTTCAAGTAGATGGTATTAGTCCTAAGTATGTAATGTTATATCTCTGTCACCTTGAGAAATATCCTGCAATCTAGAAATGCCAACCTTTTTCAAAAAGTTCAAGTATTTTGAAAGCGACATGTAATAATATTGTGCGACAACGATAGGCTGACAATAGAAGTTTCAGTCTGTAAGCACTGATATGTAGAAATTTGGATAGGATTTACACTAGCGAATATAGTCTATCAGTGCTCTCGTTTACACACACAACCAAATTGTTTATGTCTTTCTGTCGAGAGCTCTGATTGGATGTATTCTCTAGCGTTCAATCTAATCAAATCGTTCCATTTACCATGCAACAAATGGTATCAGATTCAGTTCGTAATACATGTAGAGAAAAAGATACATTCAGAAGGTGCCAAACGTTATGACATCGGTGTTCTGTATTCCGATGATGTTCTATATTCCGATGATGTTCTATATTCCGATGATGTTCTGTATCCCGATAATGTTCTATATTCTGAAGATGTTCTATATTCCGATGATGTTCTGTATCCCGATAATGTTCTATATTCTGATTATGTTCTATATTCTGATTATGTTCTATATTCTGATTGTGTTCTATATTCCGATGATGTTCTGTATCCCGATAATGTTCTATATTCTGATGATCTTCTGTATTCCAATGATCTTCTTTATTCCAGTAACATTCTTTATTCTTTTCTGTATTCCATCGTTATGACTTCGATCGTCCAAGTTCCGATACTAAAACATTCATTTGATATATTCCGACGTTTCACTTAATATTATTACTCTGACCACTATATAATTTAGATTCTAGTATTAAGCTAGTTTAGGAAACTGTACTTTTAAGTCAAATATTCTTATTTTTTTAGTTGTGAAGAAGTAACAGAAAGTGATTTTGTGTCATTTTCAAACTTTGCTGAAACAGATGATAGAAAGATGCATCGATTATGTGGAGTTATAACGGACGAAAAACGTCGCCATGTTGAATCAGATGGACCATTCTTCCGTGTTATATTTAAATCTAATAATGTATATGACGCTGAGGGTTTTGAGGCCTTCTATCAATTTCGAGGTATGTCGGAGGACAAGGACAGTAAACACCAGTCGCAGGGTACGAATCAACAAAATGTAGAGGTTGGTAACAATGGTAAGTTCCTGGTCTTGCTTGCTGCTGCTACTCACTTTTTACCATTTACAATTTGATTTATTCTTTATTCCAAATTGACATTTTTATTCACTTGTTCACTAAACTACATCAAATGAAATTATTTAAAACTTTTAACAAATAAATTTTGATATGATTATGCATGATAGCATGCGATTCTTAGAATTGCTATGTAGTTTTCTATTTCATTGAAATATTTTATCAATTTTTTTGATAATTCTTGTCATATCTTTTTAATTCAATACTTTTTGCATGTTCATTTGCAAAATTTACAAACGTTTGGAATTTGAAAGAATTTTTGCAGCTGCAAGTATCAAGTAATGTACCATTTTTACCACACCTTTTTACATTTTACTCTATATTTCGTTTCTTATCTTTACATATCTTTATATTTCTATCAATCTAAGAAGATGCATAGGTCCAAATAGTCCTGTGATTATACTATTTGGACAACTGTGAGGAAGACCTTATGGTCGCAAATTCAGGGTTTTAAAGGGGTGCATTCGTCTCGATATTTGCTTTTCACCAAAATATTTCTTAATTGGTTCTTCTACTTGCGTTTAGATATGACCAATATCATGACGTCGTCGCACATAATCGCCTGTTAAAATTTTAACAACATGAATTGTAGGAGAACATGATGTCTGACCTTTATTAGGAAAAGTGATTTTGACATATTGGAATTCAAACGTCTTTTATAAAACATGTATATACTTTGAATCGTGTTAACTGTGTAATGGAAAACTGGAATGTATTTCATTCCACATTCACGATATTAACTGGATTTCTTACCTTACTGATACCATATTGGTCGAACTGTGGACTTAATTATGGCGGCATTGCCGTGCCCGGTGAACTAACAAACGATGCAAAATATTTCTAAAGCTGGAAAAACTCGTATCTTAATCAGTTCACTCGTTATTTCTAATATTTTAACAGACATGACACTAACAAGGCAACGTTCACTAACCAAGTGTCATGATTCATAATGCTTGGGGACTTTTTCCCTAATTATTTCATATGATTTATTTTATAGGTGCAAAACCAGAACGATCGCCCCGTCCTACTACATCAGATGGAAAAGGTACAACGCTCACAGTTTCTACTGCTCTTTTAGTTATTACTGTCATTTTTACACAAATTATCAAAACTTCAACGTGATGTTAACTGTTCATTTTATTATAATTTCTTTACCTTCCAAACATTTTAATTTTTCTCATTGATACATTATATCCATTCGGAGCAAAATGTCATGCAAAATTCTTGTTGATATAAATTGTAAAGTGTTGAAATATGAACATAATGATATATTATTCATGTAAATATAACACATCATTATTTGTATGAAATTGTTCATATAACATGTAAACTATATTTTCAATGTAAATATTGTATCAAATTAATTAGAGTTTATAGATGGTTTTACTAAGAATCAAATAGTACAGTAGGCGTTTTTGTTCTTTAGATGAAATAGATGCAATGGTCTTAGAAGATTAATAGTTGAAAAGCGGTTTAGAATCAAATTGCAATTGGAATTTGGTAGTTCATTATATTTCATAAAAAGCAGTAAATTTGTTTGATAGGTTGCACACTCTTCGTCTGCCAAATATACAATTTTTGCATCGAACTGGCCGTTAAATTCTGATTTCAATAAGACTTGCATGTAGGTGCTTGGTTAGATTATAGCTTTATTAATATGTAGAAGGTATCTTTGGCAACAAATTATCCAAATTGACATCGCTTCTTGGTATACTATTAATTTTTGTTAATTTAATAGGTTAGCTTTTTTTCTGTAGCTTTTTACAGGAATCAAAGTGTTTAATGAACACATAACAGCATTTCCGTACGAACAGTTGTAAGACTTAATACACAGAAAGATTCACCTGGAAGCCATATCTAAATAATTTACTTAAAAAAATATACAAATTTAATTCCAACTTTCACGCTTATGGCAGTTTAAATTTCGATGTGAATATTCTTGTGTATTTCCACTGCTGTCCAAAAATTCATGGTCCCCGCAAACGAATCGCCACCTCCTCCCCCCTTTGCGAATTCTCGTTATTATTTTGCATATTGTCATGCATTTTGATTCATAATAATGTATTTTATAACTAACATGTATATAAGATGTAAATATCAATGAATTGCTGTGTATGTATATGCTATGTTAATTACTTTATCATTATTTACCACTGTGTATTTCTCACAGAGATTTTACACTTGGAAACAAACGTCCTTAGATCATTTTGTAAAAGCTACAGAACTTTTCTTGCCAACTGAATTCATTGACCATGATGATCCATCTTTCCCTCAGAGCACATACTTTCAATGGCTTCTCTGTGAAGTATTAGGTGGGGGTGCCGAGGAGGAGCCACAGGATTGCCAAGGTGTGCAAACAACATCAGGTATTCAATATTTCAATAATTAGAGATTTGAAACTGGAAGGCCAGAGTCGGGTTAGCTTAATTTCTGAGGTGGAGGGGACCCTCTGTAGAAATGTCACTGCGGACTTAACTTGTTGCTTGCTAGCTTGTCATGCGAAATGGAATTTAAACGACGAAGACTAACCATTCTCCGAAAAGCTATTGTGAATTTATTCTTGAGGAAAGGAGAGTCTTTCGGGACTGCAGCTGAAGTGATTTGATTTTTTTTAAACTCGTTTTTCATTAGTTTTCATGATTTTTTGCAATTATGAACATATTTAGTTATCTATATACAGATATTCAGAGCGATTCATTTGCTTGTAATTTTATGTATAAAGTGAATTCTTCTGATAAAATTATTAAAATAAGATTATATTGTTTTAATTGGGATTTTTCACTGTAAAGGGATTTATAGGTTAATCACAGTGCACTCAAAACACTAAAACGATTTCATCAGATAAGGTAATCAGTATGATTTGGTCAGAGATAGCTGTGATATAATAATACCAATTTGATGGTGCACTCACACCATGGTGATTACCAGTTGCGTAGGGTTGAGAATTATGAAAGTGACCATGAGTTCCTCACGCAATTCCCAACTCAGTTGCATTAGAGTTGTGTTCGTAGTTTATGGCCGCTATACGTATTCTGAACCATTCGCAACTGGTGATCGCTTTCGGTGTGAGATCCACTGTGAAGGAAGGCCGTAGCTTAATGGAAACAAATTACACATTACATATTTGAAACGACGACCAAACTTTAGAAGTGTCCTTTTCTCAAATTGCGAATTCTAAAACCATCAAAACACTCCTTGGCTTCATTTTATCAAGAATTGCGCTGCGACATTGAATAAAGAAGGCCCATTTCTCTTTTGATCATTCCCATTTGGGCAATTCCTCACTCAAAATCCAATCTGTTAGAATACGTTTAACAAGTTTAGGCCTTATCTATGTTGTTAAACCCCGTTAAAACACATAAAACACTACTCCAATGGGGGTGCTGAAACGGCTTTGACTTCTTATTATTTAAGAATTGCCTGTGGGCTACCATTGAATATCCTGTGGCATTCCAGTCCCACCCTAAAATTCCTAGATAAAACATGCTGAGAAATGGGTTCAGCTTTATCCTAATTCATGACGAGACACATACAGGTTATCATGTAAGGCATTAACTGCCTAAGCTTTTTCAGCGTTTTATAACATGCAATACCATTTAATACCATACATTTATTATTAGTCCAATGACTCTATTGCTATCTTGCTCTGAATCCACCTATAGTTTCTCCCATCAGCCCAACAAAATAGACACAAAGGGACACAATCTGAATATTGAGTGAATTACAGATGCTGGAATTGATATAAATTAATTTTATTTCATAAAAAGATCAGACATCCACCACTGCTTTGACTATTTTGATTAAAGCGTTTTTAGCTTGACAGTTTTTAAACTTAGATAAACTATTGATAGCTTTTTCTCCATATTCATTACATAATGTTTTACTTTCAGATAGAATAGAACTGTCTTTTATCACTTCTAAAATCTGAAATAAACAAAGAACAGATATATATTATAAATATATATATCGATTCTATAGATCAAGGATGACCTTGTCAGATTAAAGATGAATTACTATAATTTAAAGTGATCAAAAAGCTTTTCTGGTTTACTTGACAGATTTATCAAATCTGGTTGAGACAACAGACAGAAAATCTAAATGGTGCGTTCTAACTTTTTGCCAAACCCTCAAATACCAATAGAATATGTGGCTCTGTAATATTTTCCTTCAAAATGTGGAATATGTTAAACCAACATCAAACACCAGCTGTCCTGATGATTGCCTCTGCAGTGAAATGAGCACATGATACCGTCAACATTCTAATACAAAAAACATAGGAAGTTATAACTTAGCTAGTTTTGGAGCTTCAATCAATAATTAAGTATTATTCATATCAATACTTACTTTTTTCTGAGAATAAATATTAAACAATGATATAGGATGTTTATTATAGGATGATGCTATATATTTTATAACAGGAGCTGAAGTAATAGTCAGTTGTTCTAAATTATCTTCTGGTTTTAAAAATGGTTTTAAATCTTCACTTAACTGAATAATACACCAAATAAACAATAGTAATTAAGTTGCATTTTGAAAATAGTACACATTAAATTAAGAGCAGTTAATCAAAATTACAAACCAAAACAGGACTGAAATATTCAGCGTATAGGAATATTGTCACTTCCTCACACCATATCATGATATTGATAAAATTTTAACCAGATTGTCTCAAAGTGTAGATACAAGAGCATGTACTACTTGTCAAACGTCGTTTTAGAAAAAGATCAGTTGTCTGAAGATTGCACAGCGTGAAATTCTGAGTAACAGTATGTTTTAGGTTCTGTTTTAATATTCATAATATATAAGCAAAAATAGTGAAAATATTTTATTATTGAATTTTACAGCACATAGTTAATATTGTGATAAACTAATTTAGTTTTATGTAAAATAAGACATCTCATACCTGTTGAGCTAAAGCCATATTTTTACCAAATTCAAAGGCAGAAGTTTGTTCTTCTAGCCCATGTCCTGCAAGTTCTACAGCTGCCAGACAACTTTTAGACAATAGACTACCAGAAGATAGGAATGTCTGGTTCAACCAGTCGTTGAAGGTTACATTATCAGGTAAGTAGGGTCTACCATTTTTATCTTGTAAACCTGTAAACTCTGCTGATACATGATCCCCTATACAACTTGATATAGTTTCAACGACCTATAAAACAATGGAAACTATATTTAGTGTATTATTTGTATTATAATGCTTTCAAACTTTCCTCAAAAAATCTACTTCAATCTATAAGGTTTTAAAGGAATGAATGATATTCCATTATTCAATATTTCTTTCAAAGTTGAATTTCGGGCGATCCCATGAAATTCATAAAACAATGATTTTTCCCCTATTGACGTTAAAGAAAAGACCCAGAGTGATTTTGAAATGTTAACAGAAATTGATAAATCTGTATACAGAGCAATGAATTTTGAAGCATAAGCACAATAAGAAGAAAATTTGTGGGTCATAAAAACACCAATAAATCATTTCATGCAATAAGAAATACTGGTACCTTAGTGTTATGAAGTTGAGCTAATCCTGTTGAAGCATTAGCTAATAAAAAATCCCCTGTTAAAACTGCCATTTTGTTTCCCAACTCCATATCATGAACAGAACCATCAGAAGGTTGTATATCTGACAGATTAACAACACCTTTATGTATAAGATTAGCTGTATAAATCATCTCAGCTATCTCAGCCAAAGACCTCTGACTAAAATAGAAAGCAAATTGATCTAGGGTTTTATAACTGATAGTCCCATAAATGAAAGTGAAAAGAAAGAAGCCAACAGTTTAAACTAAGTCTAGAGACTTTTCCATAAAATTTGAACTCACCTTGGTAAAATACCTTCTATAACATCTTGTTGTTGATGGAAATTATTCTGTGAAAGACCAGCTGTTTTAGATATGAGTAAAACTATTAAACCTCTAGTCTGTAAATTATGAGTTCCATCATACACTAATCCTCTAAAATAACAACAATGCATAATATTAATTATTAAACTTTATTAACATTTAACATTTCTGCTTTATCAACATATAAACATATACATTGATATAAATAACATATGAACATATGTAATATAAAACAGTTTTTAATATAATGAAAGTATAAACAATACAAAGACTACAAAACCTCTAATTCAATACTGGTACCTTAGTAAATAATATCTGATCTCATAGCATTAAGAAGCATACTTTTTCATTCTAAACCCATTTGAGATTGTTGGTAAATGAGACATATTCAAGCAAAGGTAAACAGAATTTCAGACCAAAATGAAGATCTATTTTTAATCTAAGGTTTTAGCTTATGGTACTAAGCTACTCAGAAGTTTTTTAGACTTATGCTAAGACAAAGGCAAATTTTCACAGCATTAAACATATAGTTTGATAGCACAGGTTTAGGTTAGGTTGAGGTAGGACTAATTTTCAAAGTGATTATCAACAGGCTTACCTGGCTGTTTTTAACAGTGGATGTTTTGTACCAACAAGTTTTCTCATATGTATTGCTACATTAGACAATTCATCACTGAGAAGACATCTTAAACTCATGAAGGATGTGGGATAACCAACTACTTTTTCAGCGTCTGTCACAGCTTTATTCCAATCATCAGGTCTGGAGAAACCAAATAAAGTTCTACAACTGACTCGATGACACTGGAATTTTTTCAAACGGTGGATATTTCTAATCAAACTCATCCTCATTTTCACATCAATCTGTATGAGTCAATGGTGCAAATATTAAGTAGCAGTGATATAAAAACACAGTTCAAGACTTGACTTTCTACATAAAAGAGTCAATAGTTCCTCTCCCAACCCAACTTCACATAAGTCCACCATAAATTGATGCTCACTTCCAAGTTTTAACAGATGGTTCCACTGAAAATTCTAGTTTAATTTTCATAAATCTACATTTATGTTACAGTTATGTTTTATATTGATGAACTTCATGTTATTACTAACTATTTATGTTCTGCTACCAAAACTTTGAATTTAAGAGTATCAAAGTCTGCTAAAAGAATAAAGTGTAAGATTTATGGCAACATTAATATCTTATTCCTGCAGATAATATAGAGTGCTTCAGATAGTTCCCAATAGCATAAAGGCGTTAAAAGAAACTTATGAAGGAATAAGTTGAAATTTCATCACAGTCACTTCGACTGCCATGTTTGAGGGAGACGGGGAATACCTATGACGTCATTGTGGCCCCATAGGACATTAGAAATAGTTCTTAAAATAGATTTCATATCTTTCAGTACAAGAAACAATTTAAATCTTTGAAGAATAGAAATCAATTTACAATTAGAAATTCATGCATGAGACAATCTATCATCTATAACAAAGTTTCAAACTGTCCAGTATCGAAGATCATCAGGATGATCTTGTTGATATAAGCGGTAAGGGAATTCCCCAGATCGGGTCAAGGTCGTAAAATGCAAGTTATCTTTTGGGCAAAAGGGCACTGGTTCATTATTATAGTAAATGGGGTGGAATAAAAAGTAATGGCTTCCTTTAGAAGACTCACACAATTACAAAAAGTAAATTTGTTTTGTTTATTTTACGCACTTCATGCTCATTGCCATTTTGTCATTGATTGCATAATAAAGGATTGGGTTTTAGTTTCGGTTTTAATTTCTGAGAATCTATCATTTCCTTGAACTGAATGAATTCTACGAAGAAAGGCCTTACATAGAAATTGAATGCACCAGATATGAATTGTTAATGTTCACCTTATGGTGCTTTATATGATTGTTAACGGTGTAAATTTTCAGTGGAAGTGAACTTTAGAAATGTTTTCAGGTATACTTTATGACGTTTTTCCATTTAATTTCTTTTACAAAAAGCGGAATGCTCCTTTAAATATAAATTATCTTCTTATAACTAGCTTTTTGAAATACAATAAAATTATCAAATTCATTTTTTTAAGGTCTTATGTGTAAATAAATACCAGTTGTTTAAAACACAGAATGCTAGAGTTATGCAGATTCGAAACATGACCTCAGATATTCAAGGGTTTTTGGAGAAGACCTTTTCATGTACAGATATCAATATTCTATCAACAGAGGTACCGGTACTATACTATAACTTAAATTAATTGATTCATGGACTCATCTTATATCACCAATTGATATCAGTGCTGTTAATTTGGCTCTAATTGAGAATATATCAAATGTCCATTTTCAGAAAGGGTTAAATGTCCATTTTCAGCAAGGGTCTGTCAGACAGATGGCAAAGGGTTGAATAAAAACTGTCAGTCAAAATCCTAAGCCTGGTAGAATAATTACTCTATGTTGTCGTTTACTGCTATCAATTTGATGCCTAATTATAGATCTCAATCTATTAGGCTATCACTTGTGTTTTAACAAAAAACACCACAAGGGAAACCTGAGAGACCTATTAAACAATTTTAAACAATAGTGTTTTATAATATCAGTCATGGACTCAAACCTCTGTCAACTGTGTGAACAAGTAACGACTTTTGGTGACTCTTAATTTGCCAATGGTGGGTGAGGGGTATGAAGAATTATAAAAGGTTGGAACCAGGGTTCTAGATTTTCACTGAGTAAGCTTATCTTTACAGTAAAAACTAGCCAAGATGGCAAAGATGAGATTTAATTATTGGTTCACAAACATTTTGATTCAGTGAAAATGTGAAAACTTGATTAATGACAGTTATTGTGACATATTTCTGGTTGAACAGGATGTCACACTAAAACCTAATTAGATTTTAAATTGGTTTTAGAAGGAAATTAAAGTAACATATTTCAATTTATTACTTTATAACAAGCAAAAACAGTTGAATTTTTATCAATTTATTATAAACATGAAAGAAATTAACATAAAAATGTTTAAATTGAATATTAAAAAATTGCATGATTTAAAGTTTGTGAATTATAATAATTTGATATTTCAGAGAAAATGTAAGGATTTCGTGAGTTTTTATAGTAGATTAAGTGTTGATGAAAAGGGAACGTTTCTTCATCTGTTATCGGATAGGTTTGGTGCCAATCAAGACCATATTGTGAAAGTTGCTCAAACCGTTGTTTTGTCCCAGGTAGGATGTCATTCAAAACACTTTTTGAGGTTAGGTTACACAAACATAACCTCCATAATAATTTATTTAAAATAATTTGATACCCACCATCTTTCTGAAACTGAGTGTATATTTCCACTGTGTTTCACTGTAGCAGGTAAACTTTGTTGGAAATGAAATAATAAATACACATGATGTCACATGATTTTTGAATTGATAAATCAATATGCTTACTCTTCTAGACACCTGATGACACTTTTCATTATGAAATTCTTCCTCATTTACAATTGATATATAGAACACTATACTTGTTACTTTGTAGGATAGAGGTGAAGCTATTTTACTAACATCAGAAGAAAGATTAAGAAATGCACTAATACCTAGATATTTTCAGATGTTTCGTCAAATAAGTCGTATAGATGGTGGAGTCAAATTTCTAGTTGACATGAGGTCAGATGTTCTTGTAAGTTCGTTGCCTTTTATTTGACTTGTTTAAAATAATTAGAATTTAACATCTTATTCACTAGAGTTGTAAAGGCAGGTGAATTATTAGGGTTGATAATGGATACAAGGATATAGACTAATTCAGCATTTTTACACTTGATATTCTAAAGCCAGGCACAAATGTCGAGACTTGTCTGCAAAACATTGTTTCATGATTTATATCCATCTTGTGCTTTTGCAAAAACGTTGCTTTTGATTTCAAGAAAAATATTTGCATTTAAATCCTATGGCCATGTGAGACAAATTCATATGTCACGTTAAACAATTTTTTGTATTTTTGTCTGCTGCACCAGATGTTGAATTTATGATATAAAACAAAGAAGTTCAAAGTAAAACCCTTTTTCTTTCATTTTTATCAATTCCTTCAATAAATATACTGTCCTGAAAATCCATATGAAATTTCACTATCAACTTACACTACTGTGAGCTATATAAACTTAAATTCTTTTCATGTTAATCAGAGAGTGAAAGTATGTTATATATTTTAGAATCATCAAACTACTAGTACATCAGAAATAGCTGTAGCTTATTATAGAGCTTTAAATTCAGCCTTACGAGATCTTATTTCATTATGGTTTTCAGTAGGATTTTTGACATTACAAAGAATTACATGGGAATCGCCATGTGATCTTGTACAGAAGGTAATTGTTTAAATCAATATTTACATTTTCAACAAAACTGATAACCTTTGTGAATATTGTTTTGTTTTGTGTGGTAGTGAGGGTCATAAAGCACACTTTCGCAAATGATGTTTGATTGACTTAAGTACTTCCTAATGTACTCAATTGGTAACTAAATTAAAAAGATAGGAGACTCTTTCATTGCAGTACCATAAAGTGTGTATTCTGTAGCATGCGAGAGCATACCATTGGCAAGCAATTTTCTCATAGTTTCGGACTTGCATCACTGTCAAGAAGAAACTGGGTTGAGAAATCTGAAACACCTTTAATTGACCAAGTCAATATCAATTTATCATTCTGTTATGTTTACAGGTATCTTACTATGAAGCTGTTCATCCTATAAGAAATCTATCTGATATGAAACAGAGAGTAGGACCATATCGTCGGTGTTTTGTATTTAATCATAATAGTATGCCTAGAGAACCTGTAGTTGTCTTACATACAGCTTTAACACCAAATATAGCATCATCCATACATGTAGGTAACAAGTTTCTGTTGATTAACAATTCTTTTTGTTGATTAACAGTTCTTTTTTTTTAAATTATTTTGTTGATTAACAATTCTTTTTGTTGATTAACAGTTCTTTTTTTAAAATTATTTTGTTGATTAACAGTTCTTTTTTTAGAATTATTTTGTTGATTAACAGTTCTTTTTTTAAAATTATTTTGTTGATTAACAGTTCTTTTTTTAAAATTATTTTGTTGATTAACAGTTCTTTTTTTAAAATTATTTTGTTGATTAACAGTTCTTTTTTTAGAATTATTTTGTTGATTAACAGTTCTTTTTTTAAAATTATTTTGTTGATTAACAGTTCTTTTTTTAAAATTATTTTGTTGATTAACAGTTCTTTTTTTAAAATTATTTTGTTGATTAACAGTTCTTTTTTTAGAATTATTTTGTTGATTAACAGTTCTTTTTTTAAAATTATTTTGTTGATTAGCAGTTCTTTTTTTAAAATTATTTTGTTGATTAACAGTTCTTTTTTTAAAATTATTTTGTTGATTAACAGTTCTTTTTTTAAAATTATTTTGTTGATTAGCAGTTCTTTTTTTTAAATTATTTTGTTGATTAACAATTCTTTTTGTTGATTAACAGTTCTTTTTTTAAAATTATTTTGTTGATTAGCAGTTCTTTTTTTAACATTATTTTGTTGATTAACAATTCTTTTTGTTGATTAACAGTTCTTTTTTTTAAAATTATTTTGTTGATTAACAATTCTTTTTGTTGATTAACAGTTCTTTTTTTAAAATTATTTTGTTGATTAACAGTTCTTTTTTTAAAATTATTTTGTTGATTAGCAGTTCTTTTTTTAAAATTATTTTGTTGATTAACAGTTCTTTTTTTAAAATTATTTTGTTGATTAGCAATTCTTTTTTTAAAATTATTTTGTTGATTAACAATTCTTTTTGTTGATTAACAGTTCTTTTTTTAAAATTATTTTGTTGATTAGCAGTTCTTTTTTTAAAATTATTTTGTTGATTAACAATTCTTTTTGTTGATTAACAGTTCTTTTTTTAAAATTATTTTGTTGATTAACAGTTCTTTTTTTAAAATTATTTTGTTGATTAACAGTTCTTTTTTTAAAATTATTTTGTTGATTAACAATTCTTTTTGTTGATTAACAGTTCTTTTTTTAAAATTATTTTGTTGATTAGCAGTTCTTTTTTTAAAATTATTTTGTTGATTAGCAGTTCTTTTTTTAAAATTATTTTGTTGATTAACAGTTCTTTTTGTTTATTTCATCCTCATCACAATGTCAAGTTGAACAGCGTCTAATATCTTGACTGTAATAGCCAACTTTCTTTGCATCACAGTAGTTTGTAAATTAGCAATTTGTACTGACTGGATGTTTTGAAGACGTGGGAGCATACAATATACAAATCTTGTAAACAGAAAGCTATTGAGGAGCTAAACAAATTACAGAGCTCAATTTAAGTTCTAAGTTTATTATGCATATTGATTTGTGTCAGTAGATTTGTAATTGATCAGAGCTTTAGTTGTACTGAGGACAGATGGCAGTTCAGTTGCACCTCAGAGCATTTTTGTTGCAAAAATGATGCTTCCTGTCAATGTGCCAACAGGTTTTGCAGTGTATACGCAGGTAGAATGGGTCCTCAAAAATTGTAATTATCATTTGGTTTGTGTAATCTTACTTATCATTCATTTTGAGTATTCAAATTTATATATTGCAGTCCATCATTAATTTACCAGGTTTTTGGCCTGGTGGTGAAACAGACGCTAGTTCACCTCCTACTAGTCCCGAATTATCTGCTGATTTCAATATTAAAGAAGATAAATCACAATTTAATACTGCCATATTTTATTCTATTACATCAACACAGAAAGGTAATATATATGATTTGTTTTATATTGAATGAAAACAAGCTTTGTTACCAGTTGATCATTAGTACTGATGTTGATTGAGATTTGTAAACAAAGATGATAAAGATTTTAGCAATATGGCAGGTTTTTAAATCAGTTTGAAACATGCACTTACAAGTTTGTACAGGCCGTGTTTGCTTTAGTTTAACTTTCTAAATATCGAGGGTCAGACCCAAGCTTCTCACTGGGTTTAATGTTAAGTTGCACGAGTCTCAACTACTCAAATACTACAGTTCAGAACCTTGTCAATCCAAATCCCCAATTGAAGTTAGTTACCCATTGTGTCTTGTAGATATTCTTTAAGTCGTGTGCAAGGCAGCAATAATACTAAAGTGGTGTTCAAACAGTAAGCAGCTGTAAGATTACTGAAACAAAGCTGAGTTTGAATGATTAACTAGCCAGCAAGTTCTACTTCAGCCTCACAATAGTATATGATATTTATGTGAAATGATTCATATTTTTTCAGGTCTACAAAGTATAGATCTGGGTAATTATCTTATAAAGAAGGTTGTAGAAGAAATCCAGAAAGAATTTGATCATATACAACAGTTCTCTAGTCTATCACCTATACCTGGTTTTAAAGATTGGTTAATAACAGAAATCAACCAGATATTACATATCAAAAGTAAGTACAGTACTTCATGTGACATCATCTCATTGTTGAAAGTCTACACCAGTGATATTACAATAGAATATAAAAGCTGTGAATGCTGAGAGAATTGCAGGAATGGTACATGGTCATGAGCTCTATTTTGCTGGTAAAAAGCACAGTTCTTCTGGTCTAAAGCTGACCAGTAAAGGATGTTTTAGTGGTAAAATGATAGATTGTATAGATCTCATCTCATAGTCTTACTTATGCTGGTGATAATCTTTTGCTTATGATCCAAAAAAACAATTTATCTCAATCTGACTGCAAAAAAACATGGTGCAATCTCTGCATGTATGAGATGGTCTGCATCTGGAGTATACTGCTTTTCTAAAACCTGAATATGAAGGTAATGGAAGCAAGCATTGTTCAACATTAAAAGCTATCCATGCAATTTTTTTTGTGAATACTGTACAAAAAGCGCTCATGCAAAATACTGAGTAAAACATATGCATAGTTTTTGTCCTATTTTTCCAGGTATAGGAGAAGAACCAGTCAGTATATTTTTATCAACAGAAGAGCAAAGTCAAATAAAACCACATATGGACAAAACACATAGTTGTATTCTAGAAACGTTTAAAGAATTTATACAGAAGAATAGCTGGGTGTCTAAAAGGGATCTTGAACCAGTGTTTAAAGATATTTTAATGCGTTTATGTGCTAGATATCTGTATCTTGAAAAACGCAGGCAGTATGCTCTCAACCCTGTTGGTAAGTCTTAACCATAATAATATTCAAACTCAATATATGAATATCTATATACTCAATATATTTATCTAAATTGGATAACAACTGTAGTTTTGATAGCATTTACAAGTTTATATGAATAAACATACAACATATACCAAAAATATGCGTACACATTAGTGATGGGTATTGTCAATTATGCCACGATACGATACGTATCACAATACAAGGGTCACAATATGATACATATTGCAATATGGGGTAATGGGATAAAAATTTACATTTTATCTTCAAAGTTTTTATATATATTAATTCATAACTTTATAACTGTGATATTTAGTAATATAGTTGATAGTTTCACTTTTTTAATGGAATAAAAGGTATCCCCATGTATCAATACAATATGTGTATCGTTGCATGTCTTATCGCGATACATCGATTCACAGATATATATCGTGCGAGCACTAGTCAACATAGAATGTAAAAGAAGTGAGGGAAAAAATTGCACTTTATGACAGAAATTAAGTAGATTTAAGTTGCCTTTATTTAAAAGAGTTTTAAATTCCTCATATTTTATTGGTCATGTTGTTTCTTATCTACATTACATGTACAATTCCTTAAACACCACTACAGAGTGCATTTATGATAGCATTCATGACACTGCTTGTTGGGGAACTCTAATGTGAAGAGTAATTATTGGCAATTGACTAAGCTGTTGTTAGATTCTGTCATTCCCATATTTCCAGATTCAGTTTCCAACTGAAGCTTTATATGAATTTTCAAAATTTGGTTGTTATTTTGTTTCTTTCCAATATTTCAGCAAATTTTCACCTTGGTAATGGTGCAGTATTATGGCGTATTAATTGGATGGCTGATATGTCTAGCCGTGGTTTGTCATCATCTTGTGGTTTAATGGTCAACTATCGGTATTATCTAGAAAATACTGAATATAACAGTACTAAATATCTAGAAGAATTCCATATTGAAGTATCACAACAAGTTTTAGACTTATGTTCTGGTTTAAAACCAAATTCTTAAATTACTTTATCAGTGATACATCATTATACTATTAGATGCATCTTAACCAGTGTTAATATCATCTTGATATATTTTTTTTTTATCATAGTTGAAATCTTTGCAGATAGTATTTGTCGATGATGGATGATGTGGTATACATTTTTTAAGATATTCATTGTCTTTCCTTTGTTGGATTGTTTTCTAGGCAGTTAGATGATGTAGGTACGAATCTTCCACAGGATAAAAACAATTCTAATTCCATGGCCAGTGCCTATATAATGCAAAATCTGTATTGGGCAATGTAAATACAATTCAAACTTTTATATAGCACAGAAAGTAGACTATATGTAACACATTATTTTCTTAATGTTTCTCAGTTCTTATAATCCAATCTATCAATTTAATAGTGTTGGAATCTTTACATCATTTGCTTAATTATGTGAAACAAATGGATATCATGGGTTCTAAATTCTGTCAGCACATGAAAGTATGGTGACCTTGAATAGGTCATCTTTCTTGACTAATTCAGTCGACCCAGAATTTAATGATCATCTAATCTAATAAAGATCAATGCCAAGAGGTTAAGCAAGGGACAAAATCCTTGTTAACCTGAGTTGTTAACCGTGTTTCACATATTTGTTTCTCTCATTGCTTTTTACTGCCTGTTAAATCTATATCAACGATTCTATTTACTCATCAATGCAAGGTGCTGTTCATGATTCATTCATTCATATTGTTGATCACATAATATGTATCATCATAATAAACAAATAAATAAATAACTAAATTGAAATATATGTTGTTTATTTTAAACCATTTCCTGTAACAATATCACAACTCATAAACAAAACATTTCAGCAAATCCTGAACATATATAAAATATTCAATAGAAAACAATGGCTAAGGTCACAAATAGATGAAACAATATAACTATGTTAATACCTGTAGAAACATCCAATGATACTTGGGACATCCATGGACAGTTTGAAACACAATCTACTATTTCTCCAGAAAAATGCATGCTTTGCACAAACATTGTTCTCAATTGTAAGTTTTGTACTGTGCATTAATGCACATCTTGTTGTCCTGGCTGATCAAAATCATAAAACAAAGTAAAGCTGTGAATATAGACCGTCAAAGAGAGAACCACCATACAATCCCAGTAAGGTGAAAAAGAAGGGTTAGTGATCAATCTACTGCAGAAACTTTTGTAAATGTTAGACTCCAACTGAGATTTTGTTAATGAAACCAATTGAATATTCCTCAATGTATTTCAAGCTGAATAAATTACATAAACAATGTTAACATTCTTACAAAAAATTCAAAATAACAATAATATAAACATAACAGAACACAAACTTGCACCAGTGAAAACCATTGAAAGACTAGCAGCAACAAAACAAATAAACATAAATATTTATAATAATGTACAAACAAATTGTTCAGGAAAAAAACAAATAAACATAAACATTTATAATAATATACAAACAAATTATTTAGGAACAAGACAATCACAACTTATTAACATAATGTAGAGAAAAAATAAATATCCCACCCCACTTCATTTCCCTTTCTCCAGTATAAAAATATTAAATTATAATTCAATCTGAGGATTTAATCATATAGTTTGATGAATTATAAACATAGAGTTACTATATACAAATTAATTCTAATCCACATTTAGGGGTAGAGATCACCACATTAAATAAGGAAACTCAATTTAATTTATACTAATGACAATGTAAATTGTTGAAACATTGTGTAAAACACAATAAAACATAGGAGTAGTATACCATAGTTCCATTACTTAATATACAAATTTGCATCAATTAGTTCCCATAACTCATGAGTTTAAAGCAAAACAAAACAAGATTCTTAAGGACTGTGTTGTTCACCAGCAAAGTCATCAGCCTATTGGTGCACAATAAATTAATTCATAACAAACATTGGAAGCCATGTGGACTTTCTGGAGGAGTGCTGAATTGATAAACCTGGTTTGAATGAATGAATGAATTCAAGTGCATCAATCAAAGTATGTGATTCCTCTATAAACTGAAGTTTAGACTACCAATCATGTACGTAACTAGAATTCAAGTGCACCAATCAAAGTACATGTATGTGGAAAAAATCAAATTAACTAAGCTCAATGCATCAAATTTTAGGCAAAAGACACTCAAATATTACTTTAGATCATTTAACTGCAAGTTGCACTTTCTTCATTTTCTTTTCATTGGCAGCAGTAACAATAGTAACCAATTACAACCAAATTTTCTGTGACATCATTTGTATGGGCATCAAATTTCATGTTTTCAGATTACAAGAGATAAGCTATATAGGATCTAGGAAGACTTATGAAGTAAATTAGCACTACTGCTTTTATCAGAAAACCTAATGTGTTATAGGATCAAGAAAGTCTCTTTCCACCAATTCCTCTATAAACTGAAGATTAGATTTAGGTAAATCTGACTGCCAATCATGTACGTAACTAGCACTAAGTTCATCAAATATTGGTGCTGATCTGGATTTAGGCATGACATTATTAGAGTGATTGTGTGAAGAGAAGTTTCTCTCTATTTGACTGGCGTGACATAATGTATTAAAGAAGGGCTGTAACTCTACTAGAGAACGTAGATATGTCAGTGATAGTAATGGCCGACCAGGAATTCTTTTTATCAAACCAGGTTCTCTTTGTAACTATAATGAAAATATGAATAGCATTATCATACAAGTGTATTATGAAAATCTCAAGATTTGAGCTGGATAAGTGCTCAATCAGGTAAAGACATCTGTCTACAATATAATATACATGTACTAGATGGTTGTCCAAATATTTACTTTACTGGCTGAATTTCAGATTTCCATATCACATTTCATAGTGGACATCTGAAGCCCAATTCATCTACAATAAAATTATCATGTACCAGAGGAGGTACTGATTGAGCACTTATCCATCTCAAATCTTGAGCTATGAGCTAGTCAATCAGGTAAAGACACCTGTCTACAATATGTTATATTAAGGGATATGGATGTATTAAAATATAGAGCATATATTCAGCTATACATATTACATTTCATAGGTAATATCTGACATTCCATTCATCTACAATCAAATGATCATCATTCTAGCTGTTATTCAAATTGCATATACAATGTTGTCAGTAATAATAAGAATAAATTTTGTTTTTAGCTTTAGGTATCTATTAATTGAATCAATGTAAATGTACTTACTCTAATATTTAAGAGTTTAGAAAGTCGAACTATATGAGGAACAAAACTAGGCGCCATCAGACGTTTATCTTTTACTTCTTTTTTCACTTCTAATTCATCTTCTACATCATCTTCTCCTGCTGCTGCTCCAATAAACGCCCATCTGTATCTATAGAGATAGAATATTATACTTTACTTTATCATACATTTCTAGATCTATTGTTCAATGAGGATCACTTATAAAATGAAATGGATTTTTACTTCCTACTTTTCTGCACTTGTTTGAGCGAATGAAAAAAGGCAATGCCATGCAGTGCGCAATGAGGAAATTTCTACTGTCTTTTCTAGGGATCTTTAACTTGTACAGCTTATAGCACACAGGGTATCAATTTATTGTCCAATTTGATAGATTAGATGCTGTTCCGTGTCAGCACCTTTGACCAGGGTCAAGATTCAAAGATCACAAAAAAGAAAAAATATAATTTGTAGCTATTCTTGATACTTATAATTTAAATAGGTTTGGATTCAATTGGAGAGCATCAATTTCTCTTTTGTTTGGTGGTAAAATAGGATAATTTACATTGAAGCAATGTGTTGATTTGAGATATATCGGACACAAAAATTCCTTAAAGAAAGAAACTTACAATTGAAACTGTGGTACACTATCAGCTGGTAATGCTAAACAGAGATCTAATAATTTACAAACACTGAGGTATAACTGTAGCCACGCTGGATTATTGTGGGCATTTAATCCATTACCTAGATGAGCCCAACTTGAATCTAAAGCAGCTATTCTTTGTAACTGGGTTCTGTAAACATAACAAAATTATTACACCTTTGATTCAAAACAAAACATCTAATTAACTTTACCTAGTTAAACAATAAAGTTTATGTTTTAGGTTCAAGAATTGGTTGTGAATTTTTAAAAAAAACTTCAAGATGCAACTTGGTTCCTAATCAAATACACTATTATTTGAAACATGGCAAATATTTTGATATATGCACAAACATAACTTATACTTTGCAAAATTTTAGCCAAACATTCATCATAATCTAATTATAAATCATTGTTATAACCCATTGCTATCATAGGTTTGTTTTTGAAAATTCATAAAAATTTGATTAAATTAGATTAGAATTAATAATACTTTTTAGCATTGCAAAAATCTTTATCAATCAAAAATACATTTGTTAAATAAATTCATTCTGAAATTTTACTTATGTACTTATGTGTAGTTTTATATGTACATGTAAATAATTGATGCTATTAGAAATCAGATTGATACATGCCTCTATATATATATATTACTACAGTGAACAGGTTCAGAAACATTCAAAACATGCTATTGTGTTATATATAATATGTACATATCATGCAATGACAAATAATATGGTATATATAGCAAGATGCAAAAAATATTTTAATAAAAAATGATTATCTCTGGTAAAATATTTTAAAAAATTTCAATGACTTTTTGTAGTTATTAACATGTATATTCAAGACCAAAATAAATACACAAAATATTAACGGATTAGACCAGGAAAGATTTGAAATAAACATTACAATTATTAGCAAAGGGAAAATAATAATAAAACTCAGGGGTTTTGTAACACGGATAATGAAATAAAGGCATGTTAAACATAATTCTTGGGTGTCACAGTATGTTTTATGTACTTTATATCTTTTATATCAAGAAAATATTATTTCTATATAATCCTCAACCCCTTAGTTAACTCCATTTAAAATAAATACTATTTATAAATTAAACTTAAAAATTCCAATCCTCAAAAATCTATTTTACTTGGTTATATTGGTCTACATGTCTAAATGGATAGTTAAATATATTCTTTCTCATTTTATAGACCCCAATTCATATATCAATAAACTTATCACAATGAAACTATGACTTTAAGTTTGTCTACAAGTAAGGATCAGAGTACTGGCAGTAAAATAGAATTATCACAAGAATTACCACATTATTAACATTTTAAATGACTACTCATTTATTTTATCTACTGTCTGGATACAAAGACAAAACGTTTTTCTTTAATTGTAGACAAACTACATGCCAGACTTGCCAAAAGTAATTTGAAAGCAGAATTGGACTCTATCAACTAGGAAAGCAAATATTCAAATATACTTTTTAGATGTCTTCATCTTTTTAGATCTATCTTATTTAGTGCATTTAAATCATCAATTAATATTATTACTATCAAAATAAATTCATTGCTCCAAATTCAAACAAAAACCTTTAACACAAAATACGAATTCAAAACAACACACTTACATTTTTTCAGAGCTAAAAGTTAAAATATGGACAACACTTATTAAACAAATATTAAATAAATAAGAACTTTATAGAAGTTAAACAACAGACAAGGCCAAACACTTGAGCTGAAATTGACAACTGAAATCTTAAACTGAAATAACTGAAACACAAACCAGGGCTGTTACTTTAAAAATGTCATACACAGACACTATAGCATGGAAATCCATATTTCTTACAGTCAAATCTATCGATCTTTGTTTCAAATGTTCATAAAATTAGCTGATTCTATTAAGAAAGCCACTTTACATAATGAACCTTTATTATCTCCAATCAGCCATGACTGGCAATTCAACAGCCCTGGTAGAAACTGAACACATCAAACCCTGATACTAGAACATTAGTAGAAAAAAGATCAAAACATGACAAGAAGTAACATAACACAATTATCATAGTATGTTATCATTGAAATTATGTTATCATTGAAATCATCATTATCATTAGTTTTTGAGAAATGCCTATTTAATGTGTATCAGCCAAGTCATAATGTGTGCTATAGATGATAATAGGCTACAGTGTAAAACAAGGCATATAAAGTAAGTGTCAATACCATAAAGAAAGGGAAGGATATTGTGCAATCAGGTTTTGATAGTAAACGTTTAAAGGATGTAATAAAATCAATGATGTATACTATGATATATTGAGTAAGCTGTTAAAGAAATTACCTGGATCTTGACATCATATAAACACTATAGAGTGAATATTAGAAATTATAGAAAATATCAAAACAGATCTCTAAAGATATATATCGCTCTACAATTGATGTATTGAACATTTTCTAAATAGTGGAAATATTTTGTTATTGTAGAGTGAATATTTTATAAAATTCAGTAATTCATCTTAATAGTATAATTTTTTGAAAGCTCTTTTTTTTCATCCTCTAGGTGTCTTAGAATAAACAAAAAATTCAAATCCTCAAACTTGGCCAATACAATTATATATTTATCAATGACTTGTTCACAAAACTATCCAATAAATCCAAAAACCTTACTGGCCAAATTCGGTAATTGAACATTTTTGTTTATTCTCTGATGTAGTATTCCCTAAAGGTTTGGTAAAAAGTTAGTAAGTTAAATCTACATTCATACCATTGATATTATTAGACACTACAAGGTTTGCTAGATGTACCCCTTCATACTGTTAGTTATCATCCTTAGATACCCAGTGACTCATCATTTCCCATACTAATTTCACTATTATTGGACAAATGAAAATGGGAAAAGTGGAGTGCCCCTCACATCTAAATATATTTGGGCAAAATTTTATATCATTTAAAGGGTTTGTAAAGAGGTTTCTTGAATTTTATGTGTATCAGGGTCACTGATTTTCAGTTTTCTATCAGATCTCTGTTGATCTTGCAATTCCTTAAAACTAAATTAATGAATTTCTATAATAACAGGAACCACAGACATCTGTCTGAAATCTAAATGATGCAAAATTGGCACCGATACAAATAAAAAAGCTAGAATACCTTTTCACAACCCCTTCAAGTGAAAGCACTGCAATACACTATTCTATGTTCTATTGTGTTATTATAATCAGGTGATTACATATGAAATATTTAATATTATTTACTTACTTGAACTCATCAGTATCTGTTGATAATTCTTGTTCCATTTGTAAACAAACATGTACCTAGTAAACAATACACAACAAACATAATCATTGGTTTAAAGAAATGAGAATACATTTTTGGTTTCAGACATCAGCCATTAATTTCTCCATTTTTTGAGATACCTTACGGATAACTTTTCTGACTAAAAATTTGAAATCTAATTTTTAAATTGTCAAATTATCTGTCCCATAATTTAGTAGGCTATTACTGGCTAGCTATGAAAGTTTTCCAATAGAAAAAAAAACTTGTATTTGCAACTGATATCTGCTTGTTAGGTAAGCAGTTAGGACTAATGGTGTAGTTTAGTCATATATCTTATGAGAAACTGTATATATACATAAATATGTCATACCATTTCAGTAATTATAGTAGGCCATAATGATGTTAGTTGATTAGGTGACATTCGTAATAACAATACACGGAAACATAGAAATACTTGAGATTGTACAGATGGTACTTGTAATACTTTTAAACTTTCAGCTAATCTTTCTAAAATACAAAATATAGTAAAATTAATTCCTTATAGGAAATGGAATTGAAAGAAATGAAAGAAAAAATGAAGTGAAATGAATGGAGTTTTACGTCCTACTTTTCTGGAAAGAAATGAAAGATTTGTCAAATACTTTTCTGTATCTCAATGGTCTGAGAAAGAAAATATAAAACAGTACCTTGTATATCAGGCATATATCGTTGATATTGATCTTTATCACTACATAATATAGTAAAAGATAGTCTTTTTAACATTTGAGCACGTTGTTCAAACTCTTGTTCTTTAGAACTAAATAAATTAATACCACCACTAGGTGTCATCACAACTCTACCTATAATATACAATCATAATAGTTAACAGATGATTGGATGGTTGTTTTATTGACCAAATTTCTTCTACAGCCTGGATAGTACAAGTTTGACTAATCTACTGTATTCAGATCAGTAGATCTGTAGATCAAGAAGAATATTCGATTGAAATTTAGACAAATATCACATCCAGAGGCCATCTAGATGACACCTTTTACCAATGGTCATGAGAACCAGATGCGAAAATTTTATTCTGCACACAGTTTAACACTTATGATGAAAAAGAATGATAAGGTTTCAACAAAGTAAGTTTTTTTTACAGAAAAATAAGATGATTTGAACACTTACTAAGAAGATCTTTAAATGTAGTTTTATCATGAGTCATTAAATTATCAATAATAAACTTCCAATATCTAATACATTTTACATCCATCTGGAAAAACGCTGGATCTAGTAAATATTCTAATGCTTCTTTTCTCCATGATTTTCTAGAATACTGATATCCACTTATACTACTCAATATCTGAGAACTAGCTCGATAGCTCGGAAGGTTGTGATTACTGGAAAGAATGAAAGAAGAAGGAAAATTTAATTCAACAATGGAATAATGCTCTCCAAATAAATGGCAGTGGTGCAGTGGAAGAAAAATTTCCCTCATTAATCTAAGCAGGTGTAGAAAAGATTAAGGATGTTAAACTTTCAAAGCATTTTCACAAAATGTTTCATGTGAGCATTTCCTGATTCACTGCAATTGACTTGATATATCTATTAATTATATAAAATACTCACCTATGACTTTTTAAATAAGGAAAGACATTACATAATATAGTATTAATAAATGGACTTATTTTATCTTTTTCATCACTTCCATATACAACATCTAATAGTGGTGCTGTCAACTATAAATATTCAAAAACATAAGATTATAATGAATATAATGTCTGACTAGTCAAGATTACTATCATAAAACTGTGTAAATCACAGAAAATTACTGCTTATAGAGGACATTTTCATGTCTACTTCTAAGTGATTTCTGGTTGTCTTTGTTAAGACTAATTTCCATCTCTTCAAATAGGCCTGCAACTTTTATACACCATAACAAAATGTGGAAAAAAAACCTTATAGCAGAACAGTGAAATTACTCTAAGTAACAAATGTTGAATTACCTCAGCTAGTAATGATAAAGCTTGAACACTATATTTAGAGTTGATCTCAAGATTTAATTGTGGTTCAACAACATGTTTTTCTACAACATGTTTCTCTACAACATGTTTTTCTTCTACTTCAGATTCTGTAACAGAGTATGGTCAAGATATAAATAAAACACATAATTCACATAACCAATGAAATATCTTGAATATCTCATAACTCTTAGCCTTAAATCAGCAGTGAGATAACTTGATCCTCGAAATTTTTCAGACAGCAACATTAGCCTTCTCCTTTTTCAATTTCCAACTGTAGTACAAGGAGCTTCAGTTTGTTTTCCCATTGGAAGGACTAGACATTCATTCCTTGTCAGCCCCTATTACCTGCATCACTACTGATAGGTAGAAGCAGCGGTTGAAAAATCAGAAGTTAAGTCTAAAAATTAAGCCAAATAATGATTTCTTCATGTGTATATCTCACGCTGTCATAATCAAATATTCAACAATAAGAATATAAATAAACTAACCACTATCCTCGCTAGCCTCTACATCTTCTGTATCTTGTACAATATGATTCTGTGGACCAGGTTTAACAGCTAGATTACGTCGTAACCAGGTGGTCTGTTCTAGTGATGAGCCTGCTATATATGATACAGCTTCTAATATCTTTTGTGTTATATCCTACAAATCATTACATATATCTATAAAATAATCATCTTCATAAAGACATTACAAGAACTGGTGATTCATTGAAGGACAATAACATGAACTTTGAAATAAAATGGCGAAATGGAAAAAGTCATGCAGTGTGCAATTACTGTCAGCCCCTCCAATCTGCTTCAATGGCAGGGGATGTGCTTTGAAAGAAATAGTCTACCTGTAATTCTTTTTGCTGTTTTTTATCTTCCATTGTAGGCATCTTCTGTACAAACTCATTTAATATTCTGTAAAATATGTTCAGCATATTTCATATGATGTGCACTTATTATTTGATTTTAAATCAACAGTAAGGACTTACTATATGGAATAGTTGTTTGTGTATTTTGAACAATGAAAGCTGAATTAACATTATGTTTAAGTTATTTCTAACAGAGTTAAGACTATAATATAATATAATATAACATACTGTAAGAGTAAAAACTGTCCTGGTGCTGGTAGATTTAATTGTAAACTATCTTTCATTAAAGACAATAAACTCTGCCAAGAATCCATTATCTGAGTGGGAGTAATTTCTTCAACATAGGCATAGAAAAACTGCAGCATATTGATCTCTAATGGCACTGATTTCTACAAAATACATCATTATTATTATAAACAGCACATATAATGAAAACTCAACTTCCAATAAGTCATGCTTGTCAATCATAATTCAGGCCTTAACAAAAATTTTGTATAAAAATTGCAGAATACTAAGGAGACAATTTTGTACTGTCTATGTACTATATGGATATCTATTGTTTTAAGTTCTTTTGAATATATGCCACACAATTTAACTATTCAAATTTGTAGAAAATCAAATCTGCTTTTTAAAAGCCACTACCATAAATATGTAAACCAATGTTTACTGACCTTATTTGTAAGTTCTGTAGGTGGTGGTTGTTTTAGTACTTGTTTTATAGTTTGTATAAGTGTATCTGTTGGTAAAACTTTAATAGAACTAACTAATTCTACTAATAATAACTGATCTTCACATGGTACTGGTATCACCTAAATTAATATAACCCATAAAACTACTCATGACAAATTATTTTTTTTTCAGTAGAAAGTACTGCTCAGTGGAAAATGTTTACAAGTTGCCAATTGTTTGCAAAAAATGGTTAATTTTAACTAATTTCTTTCACTGCAATTGGAGATTTTTGCCCATTGCAGTTATACATTATAGTCCAGGGATAACAAAAGTTAAAGTTGATATTTTACCTTTTTAACTCCACCATGAACTTTTTTCCTTCTATCATTCCATGCTACAGCCACAGCTCCTAGTAAATTAGTACCATGAGGTAAGGATAGGGGGCTTAAAAATTCCAATATATGCTGACGAATTTTCTGAAAATAACAATAACAGAATAAAATCTAAGCAGATTCATAATACATATCTCAGATTCAAAATACAAGCAATATTGGATATCTCTAAGTGACAAATTGAGGAAAGGAAATTTATGTCTCTAAATGCCAAACCCATGATGGCAAATCCATGCGAGATGGCCAACAAATGCATGTGATGGGTAGCAAATCCATGTTAGTTGTTTCAAGGTGGCAAACCAATTGATGTGAGACAGAGTGGCAAGTACATGTAAGGTGAGACAGATGGCAAGAACAAGTAATACGTCCCAAGAGTGGCAAATAATGAAATTACCTTAGGAGAGCCCATGGTCAGTCTTGCTTGAGTAAACCGATCAGCTTCACCAGAAGTAACAGTATTTAGAGCTTTCCACATTACAGCCATACAGGCCATGATCCTAGGTAATATACTTAATAAATTTCTTCTAGCTTCTATAACAGGTGACATAGCAGTATTATCTCTTAATGGACTGGCTTCCTAGACAAATAAACCACAGATTCATTGTAAATATTATATAACCGAAACTATGAGAGACCAATCTTTGAGGGATGTTAGCAGCATTGCTGCTAGCATGGCCACCACTACACTGTAACATTACCAACACTCTGACCTCTATCACCTGAACCTAAGTCCTATAGGTGCTACTGTGTGGGGCACAGAGACATGGAATATCTGGAAATGTCTTGATGGAATTATTCATGGTTCAGGTGTGTATAGATACCAAAAATAGATTGGGTTCAACTTCCCTGAAAAAGTGACACTAGCCCCAAATAAGAACAATTTTCCTGATAAAATAAATTTCCAGATGGATCAATGACAAAGTCAGTATAACATACACAAAAAAGGCAACTTACCCTAACGTTCTGTATAGGATTAAAGACATGTATTAGATTAGAGAAAATCTGTCCAGTACTAGCTGTTTCGGTACTTATATTAGTAACAGTAGGTGCTGGTAGACCAATAGATACTGGTGAAGCATTGTCTAATAAACAATAATGACATATAGCTGTTAATCCTTCTAATATAGTTATCAGGTGATCTGCTGGTACTTTTGTTAAGCGTACAGTTCTGAAAATAAAATCATGCAATAGTAAAGATAAATTATCTAATTTTTGAACATTTTGGCAGGAAAGACAATACATGCGATTTTTACCTCGCCTTCCATTCTGCATAAAGATAAAGTCAATACAATTCTGAATATGGCCATACTCTGTCAAAAACAGTAATAAGATAAAGAATCTACACTTACCTCTTCTTGGATTCAAATTCTGCAGCTAAAACTTCTATATTACGGCACAACTGTGACACAACACAAAGCACAACCTTGGATGTGGCTTTACCCATATATGGTAGAGCAGATGTGATCATGGCAACCCAATGACGATGTAAATGTGACATATGATGTTGCTTTAAGGCACTTAGTACTCCTGATAAAAACATACCCTGTTGAATTATGGGTAAAGCAATGTTATATCGACAGTTTATCAAGGTAGAAGGGAATGTAGATTTTGCTCGTTCCCAATCATTTGACTCTTCATTGCTGGAGGTGTAAATCTTTGACTCCAGCATTATCATGACTAGGACTAACCGTAACAGTTTAATTTGATATGTTTCATTAGCACTACTTTCAATTTCATCTTCATTAAACGATACAATGGCTTCCGTTATTTTCATTCCGCTGTCAACTTCGCCCTTTTGACGGAAATTATACACACTAGCTAATATACAATGCAATAAAGCTTTTTGAAGCTTGCACTTTGTCAATAAATCATGGATATACAATGTGAAATTTTTGCCACTTTCTTGTATAATGGTGATTAGTTCGGACATCAGGAGTGTTAAAATTTCAGTGGCCATAATATGGACATCTTTATTACCAGCTAATTCTTCTGCACTTAGTTTGCTCACCATTAAATTAGGATAATAACTACGTATATAGTATAAACATAGCGATATAAAGATTTCCAAAATCATATTACTGCGATAACTAGACAACACTTCTGATTGAATTTCTCCAAAAAAGTTTCTACCGAACACAGATTTTCGATGTCGTGCCAAAAGTAGTTGTAAGTTTGCAAGTTGTGGTGGATTCATGGTACTAATACTGGTGGTAGAGAGTGCAGTAACAATCAGGCGAGGACACATTGTTAACATAGCTTTCAATGTTGATAATGCATAGAGAGTTCTTTCATAGTCATATTTCTGGGAATATAGCAATAAGTGCATGTGTAATGTGTGAACACCACTTGTGTTTTTATCTTGACTAGTATGTGTTAAGTCAGTTTCACTACCAGACATGGAATCCATACCATTACTCTGTTTATCCATGGATATCAACAGTTGTTCTTCATCACCAAGATGACTTTCATGAGATGTAATACTTCCTAATCTTTGATGGCTATGTTTCAGAACAGGTTTCAGATCTTCAGAAGCATCTGTTCCCACAGCTTGACTGATCAAATCCTCAAGTATCTGCCTAACTATATCTTCACTAGAACAAGAATCTTTCTCACTAGATTCACTGGTCTCTTCATGGCTTCCTTCTATCACTTCATCTCGTTCATCACCATCAAAATATATCCCTTCCTTCTGGCATGTAGTTTTATCTAATCTTTTAGCATTACCTATATCTGGTCTAGGAGTTGGTATATCATCATAGATCAATCTATCCAATGAATGATCAGAACCAAAAGGATTGAAACGTAATTTCAAATTTTCAGGATTGACACGTTCAAAAGACATTTCTGGTTCTGAACTAGTTCTGACTGGTGCCGTTGAGGCACCAGCGCTTCCATTAGTGACAGCTATATCATATGATGGTATATGATCTATAGGTATGGTCTGATATTTCTTACCCTCGTTACTAACATGGTATATGACATTTCCACCATCACTACTTATAGCATAGATCTTAGTTTCTACATCCTCTTCTTCACTACATTCTGATAATCTAACTTTCCTTGGTTCATGTATATTAACATGTTGAACAGATATCCTGCAATGAGAATTATATCAAATATAAATTAATTGTTGCTGTCTGCTTATTTTCGAATACTTAACCACGTATTTTTGATTACAGGTTGCTGAATAAAACTTTTTGCCTTTACAGCTATTCAGAAATGGAAGATGGCCATCCACTGCAGCAGTTAAGAAATTATATATTTACTATCTATCATAATGTTTTCATGGAACAATAACAAGGGCTATTACTGATAGATACAGTAGTGTAAATAATTATAGCCTTAATCTCAGATATCTATGGTAATATTGTGAATGAGAACTGAATATTTAACATACAAAAACTAATGACTGATGCCAGGTGACAAATACCATTTTTACTGACAAGCAGATTGTGCTCCAATATGTTTGTATGTGGTCTGTAGCATGTGAGTATTTAGTACGAGATATGTATTATATGTTTACATATCGCATGAGCTTCCAGAATATCAACATGCAGTTTGTACATGTGGTGCATTAGCATGATAATATATGCAGTGGTGGGGCCTTTGTATGCTAATATGCAGTATGTAGTCTGTGTGCCTTGGTATGCCAATATGCAGTTTGTAGTTTGTGTGCCTTGGTATGCCAATATGTAGGGACTTGTTATGCTAATATGCAGTATGTTGCATGTGGAGCTATAGTATGTTAATATGCAGTATGTAGTCTGTGGGGACTTGGTATGCTAATATGCAGTATGTAGTCTGTGTGTCTTGGTATGCCAATAAGTAGTATGTGGGGACTTGGTATGCTAATATGCAGTATGTTGCATGTGGATCTATAGTACGTTAATATGTAGTCTGTGGAGCTATAGTATGTTAATATGCAGTATGTAGTCTGTGGGGACTTAGTATGTTAATATGCAGTATGTTATATGTGGAGCTATAGTATGTTAATATGCAGTATGTTGCATGTGGAGCTTTAGTATGTTAATATGCAGTATGTTGCATGTGGAGCTATAGTATGTTAACATGTAGTATGTTACATGTGGAGCTATAGGATGTTAGTATGTAGTTTGTGGAGCTATAGTATGTTAATATGTCGTATGTAGTCTGTGGAGCTATAGTATGTTAATATGTAGTATGTTGCATGTGGAGCTATAGTATGTTAGTATGTAGTTTGTGGAGCTATAGTATGTTAATATGTCGTATGTAGTATGTAGTTTGTGGAGCTATAGTATGTTAATATGTAGTATGTTGCATGTGGAGCTATAGTATGTTAGTATGTAGTTTGTGGAGCTATAGTATGTTAGTATGTCGTATGTAGTTTGTGGAGCTATAGTATGTTAATATGTTGTATGTAGTCTGTGGAGCTATAGTATGTTAATATGCAGTATGTTGCATGTGGAGCTTTAGTATGTGAATATGCAGTATGTTTCATGTGGAGCTATAGTATGTTAATATGCAGTATGTGGAACTTTCGTGTGCTCATGTAGGGGTTAAGTATAATATGCAATTTGTAGCAGGCAAGGCTTTTGCATGGTATTATGTAGTCTGTAGCATGTAGGACTGCTGCATGTTAACATGCAA